AAATATATGATGTGTCATGACAAATTAACACATTCCTGACTCCGTGACACACGTGGTGTGTCACACATTTTCTGCTCTCTGAGGCCACGTGACACACGTGAAGTCTCACGAAAACCTGCCATCGAAAAAGGCCGCGGTCACACGTGGAATGCCACGCGAAACAGGCGTCGGTCTGGAACGTGTTAAAGGTGAGTGCCCCAAATCCGTGTAACATTGCTACCACACACTACGATAGCACCTGGTTTCCACTGCATCAGCCTGGTGAGGCCAATTTTCATGAAACCTTCAGGAGCAATACATCATTTCTGTCAGGATAAAACCTGCATCAGCAGAACTCACGGTAAGTTCCTCAGCCATAGCGACTTCGCTTATTAGGCAGACATCCTATTTGAATCCGAACTTTTTCAGAAAAGCGCTGGTGGAGTCGTATTAACAACGAAGACCGATGAAGAGATAGCGGTGAGTTGTCGGGCGAATGAAAATAGGCTCGACTGCATCCTTCATATGTCGCTTGGTCGCTTCAACAACTAGCGGAAAACTGGAGCTGCGCCAAGCCTAGTTCTACTGGCATGCCCCAGAATCCTCAGCGAACAAAGCTGTACGTGAGTTTTAGGCCGATAGAAGACGTGCCGAAGAAGAAATGCGTCATGTGTATATCAAATACAGCAGAAGAGCGAAGCTTTACTATGTCCGCCTTTATGGTTTTAAGTTAGTGTCTGGTTAGTAGGATAAAGATTTTATCATACTTACTCTTAGGGGGGGGGGTCAGTTGGCGGCCGCGCCAAACCCAGCCCCCTTACCCGCCCCAGCCTTCACAGCAAACAGGACTACAGAGCCCCTTTTCATCCTCCCCCCTCTCCACCCTCCGTTCCCTCTCAACGCACTCAATGCGGGAGTAGCGAGGATGAATCTTCACGGCCAGCTCACGAGTAGTAGCCTTTTTCTGAGCGACGCCCCAACAAGGTATCCTGTTCCGCGCCATGATCTGCCGCCGAAGTTATCTTATACTGAGCTGATTGAGTGTTTGTAGCGAATTGGTGTTTAATTCACGCTATCCCTTCCGAACCGCTGCTTTCAGTCACTGCGGAATAATGCGAACTCTGTTTAGAAGAAAGAAAAGGCGCTGTTCATCGACGGGGGGGGGGGGCTTTTGTATTATAATTGCTTGTATTTATAGTTGCTTCCTAGTTCCGGTTTACAAATCTCTCTGGTAAAAAACTTGTGAACGCTTGTGAAGCTGGAGCAAGATCGTCTAGCCACCATCCTAAAACGTGTCAACTCGAAAAAAGGGTACCTAGATGGGTTGGCAAATCTATGAAAGCAGAATGCCCCCCCCCGCCCACACCCCGTCGATAAAAAGCGCCGAAGGAAAGTGTCTATCCGAGCTATGCCCCCGATCAAGTTGGTTCTGGGGGAACGCACTGCTTTATTTTCACTCTGTTTCATTTGAGGTTTAATCGAGTATCACAAACGGCACAAAATTCCAATCGATGAAGAGAAAACTATAATAAAAAGGGCAATTAAAAAAGCTGACTGGCAACTGAACCACGAACAAATTATCAAGTAGGTTTCTTGTAGCTTCACCATTAACCTCAATCTATTTTGCACTAAGCGACATTGTTCAGAACAAAAAGGCTGGGCTCGGGAGCATTTGGCGACGTCTACAAGGGTATCCTCAGAAGCGGATTAATCGACAAAAAAGAAGTTGCCATTAAAACGATCAACGGATCGATCTCAGCTGAAGAAAACGAGAAGTTGTTCCAGGTTGCTCTTTGAAGCAAACTTACAAGCCAGTCATCAGACTTCACTTCAGCTTTCAATGGCGCATTAGTGTTTATGGTCTGATTTGTGGAGGGGAGGGGGAGTTCGTCACCAAGCAAACACTAACTTCAACTATCGAAAATGTTGAGGACAATGACGGCGCCGCTAACTGAAGTCCTTGCGGCTCGTAATGATCTCTGGGACGCAGGACCGAAAACGAAATGCGACTTTCTTCTCTTCAACAACCAAGCATTTGATGGGATTCTCCTGATGCATTACCCTGTCTGCAACAAGCGGACGTGTGGGGTGGTATGGGTCGGAGCGCAGGCCGCTCGGGACATGTTGCACCAATTGATGCCCATCCCGAGCCCGAAACAGTTGTGGGAAAGGCTACCATCTCTGTGCTCCAATCCTCGCCCCTTCACACAGAAGTTCTTTCGTTTGTTAGGATAGTGACTAAACCTCGGGGGAGACTGTTCTTCAGCAAGGCTCTGCAATGTGTTGCCATTGCTCGCGAAGTTAGCAGAAAGTGATGGGACATGGCACGGTTATGTCCGAGCATGATATGGTTCACCCTCTTCACTGTAGTGCTTCGCCGAGGCATCATGACGTGGCTTCGCCGCTTCAGAAGATGGGGTAGCCCCAGTGTAGTAGCCCTTTCCAAGCCAAATGGCTCCCAAAATCAATTTTAAGGAAGCGATGTTAATGAAGACCTTGGTCCATCAGAATGTGATTCAACTGATTGGTGTCGCCTCGAACGAAGAACCTGTAATGATTGTTATGGAATTGGCTCCTGGTAAAGTTTGGTGATGTTATGTGTGGAAGGGAACGTTGTTGTCTCTGTGAACTAGGCATTTGAGGCGTGCATTACTGCCGTTTCCGATCGATGGAACCCAAATATACTCCTTATCCCTGAGACGGGGTAGGCGTGGCATTCGAACATGGCACAGAACTGGTTACTCGTGGGATATTTCAATTTGAGACAACCGCCATCTTGTTCTTTGTTGGACAGAGACGTGACCATTTGGGTCAAAATGAAAATATCTCTCCAAAAGCATAGCCACCACGACGTTTAGTTGAAGTACGCAGCCACGCCTACCTCATCTCAGGGATTTCGAGTATACATATGAGACGGATTTCCCGCTTGCAGCTACGGAAGGTTGGTGGTACCTGACAATCCCTCACCCGCCCTCTAGTGCTGCACGCTCCATGGTTCAAGCATGTACGGTCTTGTTTGCTGCGAATGAAGGGGCGTGTCAGGTGGGATGGAAGAGGTGCGGAGCTGAATAAGTTCTCCGCCAATTGCGGAAGCGGGTAACCGACACCAATTAGTGGAAAACGACTGATAAGAGCGACATGATACAGTATTGTCGGCTTGAAAAGCTGGTGAAAACGGTTTGGCGTAGCGCCAGAATAACCCCTCCTGATGCGTCCACATCCGCAGCGAACAAAACTGTACATGGTCGATCATGCGAGTTCATGAATGCATTCAATGCATTCGTGAGATCAGATCGGAAACAGATAAATGCTACACACGCTCCATGAACTGCTACTAATAACATTAAGAGATGCAATTCGTTTCACTGAAAACTGTTCAACACAGGAGGAGCCGTACTCGACGCCGTGCAAGCAAAGCCTGGCCCATCAACGTATATCCGAATAAAATATTGTCATGGTGCTGCCCAAGGGCTAACGTATCTCTCTGGGAAGGGGTTTGTTTTTCTGTGTTGTTCTTCTTGGAAAGCACAAGAAAAAGCGAGCTAGTGAAGTACTGGGCTTCCCCCTTTCTAACAGGAACATTTCTTTCACCCAAGTCAGTCACTTGTTACCAGAGCTTTGTTCAATTACGGTAAAGCGATTCCAGATAATTCACCGTGATATCGCTGCAAGGAACACGCTAATCGGTAAAGGTAACGTAGCGAAAATCTCCGATTTTGGTCTCAGTGTACTGGGTGCCCAGAAGAAAGAGAAAACTCTCAAGAAGGTATAATAGCAAATTCAACTTTCCAGTTTCAATTATTTCGGAATCACTTTCTGATGTAAGTTACGCCGCTACTTCAGGTACCAGTCCGATATCTGGCTCCAGAAACTCTACAAACGCGAAGTTATTCAACAAAAACAGATGTGTGGACGTTTGGCATTTTCATGTGGGAGGTAATCGATGTGGTTACGCTCAGTTATAAAACGCACAATCCGCGTCGATCGTATGGGCGGGTTCAGGCCCATCATTGTGCCTTCCTTACTGGTGCGTCACTCCACTTTACCGTTTTCTGCTAAGAAGGAGTGCAGAATGGTGAGCCCAATTCGCATCAGTGAGAAATGCAGAATGGTGAGCCCAACACCAATCGTGGATCAGTGTCCACGGTAGCTTCAGTTACGTGACAACTAGAACTTTTGGTGAAGGTCCTGCTGCGAAGGGTCGGAGCGCAGAGCAATAAAGGACTGCAGCTGCCAGGGCATTGAGAGATATAAAAAAACATGTCGTGAGGCGAAGATGAGTTCTTTCGAAGGGAGAAGACACCGGGGTGGATGAGCAACTCAATATGTATGCGTGAAAGGTTAAAAAGGTCACAAAACGCCATGCAGACGTGGGAGAAGGAATAGAAATTTGGCGCCATTAAAGGGATTGAGTATCGGTTGTCCGTAGACCGCACACACCTTAAGATATGCCCAAAATCCCTGAGATGCGGTAGGCGTGGCTACGTGCTTCAACTGAGCGCAGCGGCGACCAAGTTTCCGTGCGATATTTTCATTTTAGGGCAATTGCAACGATGTCTTTGTCCAACACAGAACAAGATGACAGTTGTCTCAAACTGAAATATCCCACGAGTAACCTATCCCATGCCATGTTCAGATAACACGCCCATTCCTTCTTAGGGATAAGGAGTGTATCTTGTCGAGGCCATTTGCCCACTTTGCCTTGCACTGCAGTGAGTGCGAAAAAATCACCTTCAATCAAAACACCTGTTCTGCACAGAAGGAGCGAAGTGTAATTTCAATTTTTAATTGCGCTGCACAGACCGCGTTTGGACATGTAATCGTGCATGGGGAACGGGAGACGAGCAAGAGACTCGTAATTTGCCGCTCCGCCGCGCACGGCGATGGGCGCGGCGTTTTCTTAACTCGTGTTAACCTGTCGACTGGAGCACCGGACTTCATGTAGACCCCGTCATCGTAGACATTCATCTGTTTTCGGTTCTGAATTGCCTGTTGTCGCCATCTACTACCTGGAACCATCGTCGCTCGCGACGCCCACCACCGCGGCGAATTACGATTCTCTTGTCACGTACCCATGGGGAACACCACAACATGATGACAAAATCCACGACATTACCTACTACACTATCGATTGCTTGGAAAACGCTGGGAAATTCTCAATAACTTGATTTAGGTGTTTCATGATGGGATGACACCCTACGACGAGTTCCCCAATACAGCAGCAATAAGAAAGTTTGTCCTTGCCGGAAACAGGCTCAACAACGAATCGGATAGATATCCTGATTACTTATGGACTCTGACCCAGGTATCTCACCATAGCAGGTTACCTGACTGCTTTTCTTGTTCTCTACGGATGCTAGGGTGTATCGGGGAGGGGGCTAAACTTGGCCGGCGCCAGCCCGTTTCTCACCACTTCTTGTTGTCGCTTTCCTGCTTCAACTGCTGGAAAAAGGGCTTAGGCAGGGCTTGGCCCCCAAACACTGACCCCTACATACCCAACTAAAAGTTGCAGAGAACTGTATTTGCAGACTGCTACGCCTGGCATCATACTTACCTTAGCAACCGCTAGCGTGATTATCGCCGCCGTCCCAAGTCTGCACTCACGCTGAGTGTTGGACTGCCGCCAACGACGCAAGAAGTTCCTGTCCGAATATATCGTAACATTGCAAACAGTCCGCAATTAGCAGGTGGGGGCGCGATTTGAGAACGAGATTGATTCGGCTCGATCTACCGAAGTATGAACGCAAACCTGCAAGATATGGACGCAGAGTTCCAACTCTTACCATCTTTCCCAGTTTTCATAATACTACCCTCAAGCTATTAAGGAGTGGCTGGACGCAAATGGGCCTAAGAATGCGGCACCCAACATTCCAAGAAATTACCACGGCTATCGAAACGCAAATGGAGGAATACAATGAAGCCGAAGCACCTTTTTGGAAGTTCTGGAGTTGAACACATAGATTAGGCGTACTGATCCGTGATTGCGAACAATTATTACCATGCGAAGTATACGAAGTAATGAATTATTTAGTTTCTGGGCGTATTTTGTAGCAATTGCTATCATATGGAGTCTTGGGGGTATGTTTCGGTTAAATCATGGTGTACTGTGAGGTTCCCGCACTGCTGGGCGTGGCTGCCGACTCCGCACCATTTCTGTACGAGTTACATCGGCACTTCGCTTGTTCAGATTAACTACTTCCACTAATATCCGCAGTTGAAGGGCCACCAACGGATGCTATTCGCAAATCCTTTGCTCCAGCAAAACACCGGCGAATCGCGCGCGCGACCTGAGGACCGTTACATGATTAGCCCACTATGGGGTCGCCCTTCTCCTGAGTCTTAAAAAAACTCGGTATTAAACTGTTGCAAAAAGAAACCGAGCGCAGACGAATTAAGGACATTCTCTGCTTAAGCGTCATACGCTCTTTGACAACGGATCCGTAAGGCATTGTTCACAGTCTCCAGGCCCTGACGAAACGGCGGTTGGGAGAAAAGCAACAAATAGTCATCGATCGGAGAATCGCCCAACCGCCCAACCGCCGCGGTTGGGCGGTTGGGCGAAAAGCAGTAGATGTGTATCGATTTCGCTGGCGAAAAACGCCACCGCGATGGAGCTAGCGTTTTGTCGAAGGCGAAAAACGTCGCGGTTTGGCGAAACGCCCGTCGATACGTACCAAAACCCTTTCGCCCAACCGCCAGGCTCTTCGCCCAACCGTCGATTTATCGCTGGCGGTTGGGCGAAGCTTTTCGCCGAATTGCCGCATTTCAGAGAAACGCTGGACCGCAGAATGTGAACAATGCCTAGACAGGTGCTTCAATAGGTCGCATCACCCATGTCGCGAAGAACTTTTATCCTATCTGCTACCGCGAATTCCTGCAGCGCGCAGATAGGTAAGTGGGCGAGGATATTGTAGGGCAGAAGCGAACGGTGACGAGTCCAGAAGTGATCTTCTCGGGGAATGAACTCCAAGATGGGTGAGTCACTTAAAGCGTGTGAAGTATACTCCTTATCCCTGAGACAGAGAGGCGTGTGCCGTTATTGATGTACGACCCCTTCCTTGGACAAGGCTCTGTCCCGCAAGTGTAGAGCATCTTAACCTTCGTTGCTTGAAAATTAAGGATGCTAGGCGTTCATGACAACAGGATGCCCAACGTTCAGCGATCTCTGGTTGGTAGTGAGAGGAGTGATATGGAAAAAGAACTCGTAGTTGTGATATTTGTACATGTAAGTGAGAGAACTCACCTAAGCACAACATCTCTCCGCCCTACTCTTCTTACTCGTACAATTCTCGCCGTGAAACGGTTTTTCCGGCGGTTTTTTCTCTCATCACTGTTGGTTGTAGTGTAGATCGCTGCGGAAGTCGGAAGTCGAAGTAGCTGCGTGTCAGGCGGGATGAGTTTGGCGCGGTGCCAGACCCGTTCTCCACCAGTTGTCAAAGCGAGAAATGATATGACTGTATCATACCGTTCATCTTACTCGTTTTCTCCCACTTTTAGTCCCATGCGCGCTTCAACAAGGATAAATGCTAATAGACGGGGTGAGCACGACATAACTGCCTGACACCGCCACGTCGCGCAAATTGAGTTTACCATCATACCATTAGTTTTCGAACATCTGTTCGTAAACGCGGAGCGTAGTCGTTCTTATATTGGAAACCTTCACAACACTTTCCTACGCACTTTATAACAGACTAAAAAGAAACGACTCGTAATAAATATGATTGTGAGGGAACCCGTCATTTAATTAAGGCCTTACCCAAAATGGACAGGAGTTATTGACAGAAACTCACTCCCTTCGCAAATGAAGAAACATTACTGTGAAGAATCTCGTCCACGGTTTTTATGGCGTGAGCAGGTATAGCTGCTCTAGGGTTACCATTGTGGATATCACGAACTTGCTAGCGGTTTTCACTATTCCGGCACAATTTCTAACCGTGCAGTCGACCGAGCCCCAAAAATTTCCCGCAACGAGTTCCCCCGATCAAGGAACACTATAACTTAAGGACGCGTTGCTGTTGACAGCTCTGGTCTGACACGACGGAAGCCAACGTTGCAGCTCAAATACCGCAGACTCCCCCATTTTCGCTAGATGGTTCCTAAAATTAGGTCCACTATGGGTCTGCTGTTAGTTGATCGTTGCTTCATTAGATGTTTTGATAGTTGTTGATTAGAATCTTTTGTTCACAATGATTTGATTCCTTTATTGTTTCGAATCAGGGATAGGGTTTGTCATTTACTATTTGTTAGAGCAGTGGAAACTGGGTTTTTTCTCATTCTCTTTTAGTACGGCTTTTCTTTCATATGTTTCTCTTGTGTTACAATTAATTTTCTGTTCCGACGCTCATCTAATTTGTTTAGCTTGCGGTTACCCTGCTGAGCAAAAATGGCTCGTGGACCGAAGAAGCATCTTAAGCGTCTAGCGGCACCAAAGCATTGGATGCTTGACAAACTCGGAGGAGTTTTCGCTGTTCGACCAAGGAGTGGACCTCATAAGCTTCGAGAATGTTTGCCTCTCAACCTCTTCCTTCGCAATCGTCTGAAGTACGCCTTGAACTATTCCGAGGTGAAGAAGATTATGCGTCAGCGTGTTGTGAAGGTTGATGGAAAGATCCGCACCGACCACAAGTTCCCCGCCGGATTTATGGGTAAGATTCTTCTATTCCTTACTTGTATTAAATGTTGCACTTGATAACCAGTCCTTTGCAGATGTGATTAGCATTGAGCGAACCAATGA